AGTTCCCAAATTACACGTTCACAGTGAGTATCTTGATTTTTGGCTGCTACATGCCAGGAATTGTATGAATACCATCTCATTTAATCCTCATAACCACCCTGTGAGAAAGGGACATCACCATTTTACAGTTGTGGAAACTGCCTTTTGGTAACTTATCCAGGTAAAGTTAGTACAGAGGCTAGAACTAAAATTTGTATTTTGCCGACCGCTAAGCCAGTGTGCCACCCTGCCACTCCTTGGCTCAGGTTTTAAGAGTGAGCTACCCCATATGTAACTCTTCGGGATTTCAAATTGGTAGATTTTGGGATTTCTCAACGGTGAGTTGAGAAGGTCTTTCAAAGATTCAAGTTCTCATTAGTAACTGGTACTATTTGCCCATAGAAGGGAAATCACCCAAGATAGTAGTTAAGTAAGGCTCTGTGGCAGCCCTGAGGTGGAATGACCTTGTCCAAATAATTCATCTCAGAAAAAGGGTTATTTTGCCTATTTTTTTTTTTTTTTTTTTTTTTTTTTTGAGATGGAGTTTCGCTCTTGTTACCCAAGCTGGAGAGCAATGGCGCAATCTCGGCTCACTGCAACCTCCGCCTCCTGGGTTCAGGCGATTCTCCTGCCTCAGCCTCCCGAGTAGCTGGGATTACAGGCACGCGTCACCATGCCCAGCTAATTTTTTTGTATTTTTAGTGGAGGTGGGGTTTCACCATGTTGACCAGGATGGTCTCGATCTCTTGATCACGTGATCCACCCGCCTCGGCCTCCCAAAGTGCTGGGATTACAGGCTTGAGCCCCCGCGCCCAGCGTATTTTGCCTATTAAAATGGGAATAAGTATCTCCCTTATAGGGCTCTTAGGAATATTACAGGTAACAAAGAGCTTATAAAAGTGATTGGTCCCAGAATGTCATCAACAGATGCAAGAAATTAAACTGTGGGTTTTAATAAAGAAATTGCATTGTAAATCTAGTAGTTTCTATATAAATTCTACGACGGTATGTAATTTAGCAATATCTCATCTGGTTAAAATATGATAGGCTGAAGGTTATAAAGGAGAAGCCGAGGGCTTTATGAAAATTTATATAGACTAAATACATCTATTTAGTCTATATAAATTTAGTCTATAAAAATACATGTACCTTTTAAATCCATCTATTTTTCTGAACCCCATATTGAGGTACAGAGAAACTCCAATATCCAAACTCATGACTTCCCAGTGGTGGCAGTGGAATCTTATTATATGATCAGTTCTAGAAATTGTAACTTACTTCTAGCATTGTAATTTGGAGAGAGAACAGCTGCTAACCTTGTTGATCAACTGCTGTTGAGGGCTGAAAGTGACCATGGAAGAGAGTAGAAATATCTTTTCTTAAAGGCTCAAAAAAATATCGTAACACATGGAGACTAGCATACTTGTTATTCAGCCAGATTTCTTCACACCTGCATGCATATAACACATCATTTTTAAAATTCACTAACAACATTTGAAATTGGATTCATTTTAACTTGGAAAAAAATACCAAGAAAACTGCTAGTTACCAGTGGCCAAAAAGGAAGACTCTTCCATACAAGGAACGATTTCTGGAGTTCTGTGAAAAGCTAATTTTGTTCTTCTTCTTCTTCTTTTATTTATATTACAGATATTTTACAAGTTCCATAAGACTCCATCCCACACAAGACAGTGAATCTAAGTGTCACAGAAGACTGAATTTCCTCAGTATTTCACAGTTACCAAAACACCTGTGCTAAATAGTTTTCTGTGTATCAGCTGTGAAAACTCACTGTTCAATAGCCCTCCAAATTTCTCATTTATTCCTGGTGGTGGGGGATTCCGGGGGGCTCACAAAGGGTTATTAAGTTCTAGGAACGGTAGTGGGTCAAGAGCTTCATTAATGGAGTAAAAAAAGAAAAAAAGTACCAGCAAATTTCACTTGTACTCCTTATAGACCTTCCCTTCTACCTCTTCTGAGATGTTACCTTATCTGGAAATTAATTAAGCAGAAACTAGATGGGCACAAATACCATAACATTCTGAAGCTTAATTAGCAAATGCTTTTTAACTTCACAACAGGTCTTAGCCTTGTTGGTTACTTTGCTTCTTAAAAGAGCAGAAAAGCAAGCTGTATTATTCTTTGCTTCCTTTCAGAGAGGAAACAAGCATGGAAATTTTAAAATAGATCAAGGGATGCTCAGAGGGCAGCTCCCTAGCAACCAGGCTGCATTGCTGGTATGCTAACTTGAGTGGCCTGCATTCTGCCAGGAATGTCGGCAAGCCACTCCCACTGATAGCAAAGACAAGACGTGGAGAGAACTGGTCCGATACAGCCGTAGAGGGGACACAGACAGGTGACTGCAAGAGCCACAGAGTCTCACCCAACCCCTTCAGTCTGATCCATGGGAAGCCCAGTAACTGTGCTCAGTCATTTTCTCAATTTCAACGCCCTGCAGTGAGGCTGTGAGCCCATCTCCTGGAGCAATAACTATGGGATGGAGGTAGGGAGAATTCTTGGTCATCATCAAAGACCCTTAAGTAGAGAAATTACTTCCAAAATGTTTGCTGTCTGATAGTTAAAACTGATGGCTCTGTCTTTCCCTTATTAAATAACAGGAGAAAAATGAAAAGATGGAATGTTTATTGATAGTCTTTGTTCCTGGTGCCATGGAGCTTGTTTTTGAGGCTCTGATGGTTAAGAAAAGAAATAAAAAAAATCCTGTGTGTCATATAGCTGCAGAGTACAGGCACCCTGGTGCGCACTGTGAAAATATCATAGAAAAATATGACATCAAATTGTCTGCCTACGATGATACAATTTCTTATTGGAATAAAAAGAAGAAAGTATAGAGACTAGCAATGTATTTCCTTTTCTTCACTCAGACTTCACACAAGGAAAGTTACCTGGATGTTCAAGACGTTAAAACATGGTCTTGTGCCAAAAGTGAAATAATTAAATATTCAATATCAGCCCATTAACCAGATGTGCTCTCCCCAGTCCAATGCCTTTTGTTGTTGTTGTTCTTTGCCTTACTTGTCCAAGATGGCTTTTGAAAGAAAATGCCAAGAAAATTATTTTGTGGAAAAATATGTCTTTCTCCTTTCTCCCCTCCCTTCCTCTCTCCCTCTATACCTCCCTCCCTTCCTTTCTTCCTTCCTTCCTGCTTTTCTTCAAAGACAGCAGTCGCAAATGGTCAGCCATGCACTACTTGGTGTGAAGAAAATCTTTTCCATTATTTGATTTTTTTAAATTGTACTTTAGTTTCTAGGGTACATGTGCAGATCATGCAGGTCGTTGCATAGGTACACACATGGCAATGTGGTTTGCTGCCTCCATCCCCCCATCATAGTAAAAGATTTTGCAATAGCAAAACATATAAAGGAATATAATCAACTTTTATGTTGTTATCACGTAGTTTAAAAAGATGAAACTTTACAATTCCTATTGAAGTGCCTGTTTTTATCTCCTAACTACCTTCCTTTTCCATACACTTAGAGGTATACCTTACCCTGAAACTGACGAATATCATTCCAAAACTTTTCTTAATATCTCCACTCTATATGCATTTATCTGTGAATAATATACTATAATGCTTTTCATGTTTCCAAACATTTTACAAGGCTTGTTATATTGTACAACCTGCTGTTTGAAATTCTATAATTTGATCTTTTTAAACTCAAAATTATGTTTCTTGTTTTGTTTCCCTTTGTTTTTGAGACAGTGTCTTGCTTTGCCACCCAGTCTGGAGTGCAGCAGCTCCATCATAGCTCACCGTAGCCAGGGATTCCTGGCCTCAAGTGATCTTCCTGCCTTAGCCTCCTATGTAGCTGGGACTACAGGCACATGCCACCATGCCCTGCTACGTTTTATTTTATTTTTCATAAAGGTAGGTTCTCACATTGTCCAGGCTGGTCTCAAACTCCTAGCCTCAAGCAATCCGTCCACCCTGGCCTCCCAAACTGCTGGGATTACAGGCATTGAGACATTGCACCTGGCATCAAACTTGGGTTTTTGAGACGTTAGTATATTATTAGTACTTTATCAGTCCATGTTTGTACATTTATTTTTACTCATAAACTGTCTACTTGAAGAAATATTACACAATTTATTCCTAAAAACTCTTTTCAACTAAGTGTCAGTTTCCATTTTTGGTATAATTATAAGCAATGTTGTTTGTTGTTGTTGTTCACGTGTCTAGATAAACTTTCATCTGCCTGGGACAAATATGTTCTCCATATATGTTGTCACCTCTCCACATATTCTGTGACAACCTATCAGGTTATTGCTTTTTTCAAAAAATTGAAATATATCACACTTTAATTAGGCATTACTTTTGTGATTTATGTTTTTTATAGTATACTTCTTACTATGTCTGAAGTGCATAATTTATATCCATTGTACAGAAATGGATATAAACTTGGGGTTCAGAGGATTGAAGTAACCAGTAAGCATAGAGCAGGCTTGACCTTCAAATACAGAGCTGTCTGACCCCTGTGTCCCAAACCACTTAGACAGAAAATTTACTTCATTGGCCTCCCATCTTTTTAATTTAAGCACCCTTCCAAAGAGAAATGTGTTTAGCATGAACCCAGTAAATTCTATTTAAATGCATGTTATAAACATTTAACACATACTATTTGTGTGAACCAGTTTTTGAAACACATGAAAATGGAAATTTAAAAGGATAGGCCAAGCACAGTGGCTTACGTTTCTAATCTCAGCAGTGTGGGGGGCTGAGGCGGAAGGATCACTTGCGGTCAGGAGTTCGAGACCAGCCTGGCCAACATGGCGAAACCCATCTCTATTAAAAAAAAAAAAAATTAACCAGGCGTGGTGGCATGTGCCTGTAGTCCTAGCTACTCAGGAGGCTGAGGCAGGAGAATCACTTGAACCCAGGAGGCAGAGGCTGCGTGAGCCAAGGTCATGCCACTGTACTCCAGCCTGGGCAACAGAGTGAGACTCTATCTCAAAAAAAAGAAAAGGATAAAGTAAGCATAAAATGTCATGTTTTTTTTTTTAATGTTTATTTTATGTACAAAGAACTAACATGGTTTTTCATGGTAGATATCTTGGATAACCCTTTGAAGGAAGATCATTTAGTCCAACTTAATGAAACCGATATCCCTCGCGTACTGACGGAAACACTGGTGGCACATATTGAGGCCATATTTCTGGATCGGACCATGCCGGTTTGAATAAACTCAACAAGAGCAAGAACCCTGGCTGAATTTTCTTGGGTGGCTCCAGTACAGCTGCTGGTGACCCATCTTGCTCTCAGGAATGCACGAGGTAAAAGGCAAAATGTCATGTTCTTTTATTTAACACATTATTGGTCCTACATCATCTCTTTCTAAAATATATTAATAAGAGTTATTATTATTTATTTGGCAGATATTATTACTTGGCAAATAAGCGTTTTATTGCTTTTGCTGTTTGATTAGAAGTTTAAGAACAGGAAAATGGAGTATTTGGGTGTAAGGAAAACATAAGGCACATATTGTGGACTTAGTCATCCAACATGTCATTCGTCTGTTACTTCTCCTTGTATTTTAGGGTGTAGAAGTAGAAGAATATTCATCACCATCATCATCATTGATATAATTTTAGTAAAGGCAAAGTAACTGAACATTCACTTTTTGTTACAGTGATTCACAGGTCTGGTTCCAAGTTCTGTTTGATTTTTAAACAGGTGTTCTTAATCATTGTTATTGATAATAGACAGAACCTAAGCCATGATATTTACTTTTCAACCTCATCCATTAATTATGTAATTTTTCCTTAAGTTTGGCTCATAAATTTCAACTTCTTTAATGTCATTCAGCTATTCTTATAAACTATTCATAAACTGTTATATTTATTGTATTTGTTAAAGATTAGTTGAAAACCTAACTTTAAAATATTATTTGGAAGATTTTAAAAGGGATTTGAAAAATCTCCATTTTTATTTTATTTTTTTAATTTTTATTTATTTATTTTAAATAAAAAGAGATGGGGTTTCTCCATGTTAGCCAGGCTGGTCTCAAACTCCTGACCTTAGGTGATCCACCCACCTCAGCCTCCCAAAGTGCTGGAATTACAGGCGTGAGTCACCTTGCCTGGTCAAATATCATTAAAAAAAAATTTAGGCTGGGTGTGGAGGCTCATGCTGGTAATCCTAGCACTCTGTGAGGTCAAGGCAGGAGGATCACTTGAACCCAAGAGTTTGAGACCACCCTGGGCAACACAGTAAGACTCTGGCTCTATTATGAAAAATTATAATAATAAAACAAAATCTTGAGTGCTTAGACATGGGTTTAGTTTTCTTTTTAAATGTGACGCATTTTCAACAACAAAACTGTCTATCCATATAAACTTTTCCAAATATTTCAAAATGAATTCCCAAAGCAAGAGGTTTTTAAAATTATGTTTTACTTTCACATCCGTTGTAAGAAATACCACCTTTACATCAAAAAGGCTAAGTATGCGTTTTTAAAATTATACATCTTCTAGGTAGCACACTAACTAGGTAGCACATTATTGTATTAAAAGATATAACATATATTATAAGATATAACTTATCTTTTAATACAATAACTCTTTTAAAAATTTCCCAAGAGAAAACCTGAGAATCTCTATGAGGAACAAAAAGTCTTCCTAATTAATCCCCATATCATCATACAGCTGGTCCAACTTACAATGGTTTGACTTACAGTATTTCTACAGTATCGTGAAGGTGATAGGCACTCAGTATGCTCCTGAAATCACGATGGTGTTACATGCTCCATTATAAGTTGAGAAGCATCTATACAGAGCATAATGGCTCTTCTTTATTTTAATAGTCATGCTTTTATAAAATTAGCTAGATTGTTGATAACAATTATTAACCTGTGCATTACTCATTTGTAACTAGATGAGGTGTCGAATGAACTGCACATTTGGTGCCTTCGTTGTAACCCTAATTCCAAATCATTTTGATTCTATCAACATAGTTGTGTCATCAATAATTTCACTCACTGGTGGAACCCCACATATTTGCAGAAAACATAGTTTGTATTAGAGAAACTGTAGATAGTGAAAATATAACTTCTTGGGAACATTTTTTCTATAGTGGTTCAAAATAAAAAGTTTATTTTAGGCTGGGCGTGGTGGCTCAAGCCTGCAATCAAAGCACTTTGGGAGGCCAAGGCGGATGGATCATGAGGTCAAGAGATCAAGACCATCCTGGCCAACATGGTGAAACCCCGTCTCTAGTAAAATACAAAAATTAGCTGGGCATGGTGGCAGATGCCTGTAGTCCCAGCTACTCGGGAGGCTGAGGCAGGAGAATTGCTTGAACCCGGGAGGCGGATGTTGCAGTGAGCCAAGATTGCGCCACTGCACTCTAGCCTGGCGCCTGGCGACAGAACAAGGCTCTGTCTCCAAAAAAAAAAAGTTTATTTTAAAATATGTTATTGAATCAAAATTTAGCAAATACCATAAAATGGGACATATAATAATTCCTGTATCTTTATTAAACCATACAGATATGTTTTTTATTCTATAATTCAAAATGATGGTTGTTTTTTCAAATTTTTATTAATAATTTTATGCATTATTTTCACATAATTTTTTGCAATGTTTCTCAGTATTTATTGAAAAATGTAACTAGTATGTGCTGTACCTTATTTTTGTATATTACTTCAACTACCTTTACTGTAGCAAAAAGAACAAATATGTGGCTCTTCATTTCTCACTATTGAGGACCCTCAAAATAGCCTTCTACACTTTAATCATTAAGTGTAACAAAATTTAATAAGATACTAGAATGCACATTGTATGCTTTTAATATCCCTGAAACAACTGTAGGGTTTACCTTCAAGTTCTGGATGGTTAGTTTTTAAATGTCTTACTAATTGTGATGGCTTCATTTTACTCATATTAGCTAATATCTATCTCAAGTTACAACACACAGTGCAAAGTTGATCCTTGAGAACAGTAAATATAAATCTTTAAATTAGACGTTCTTCTTGATAAATTAGCTTTCTGGGCACCAACTTTTCAGGAGACAAATCTGATTAGATAATTGCTGTTTGCTTGTTTGCTTTTTACATGGTTTTATAGCTTTAAAGAATTTCATTTTAGCAGTAGAAGTTTTGGTTCCTTTATTTTCAATTATTCATTAGTGCTCAATTATTAGTATATTATAATCTCCAAGCTACAACATCTTTGCAAGAATCCATATATGATATTTGTCCTTGTTAGTTTAGTTAGAACTTGGTGATATATTCTGTAAATCCATTTAGTAAAGACGTATAAATTGGGCTGGGCATGGTGGCTCATGCCTGTAATCTCAGCACTGTGGCAGTCCAAGGTGAGTGGATCACCTGAGGTTGGGAGATTGAGGCCAGCTTGACCTACATGGGGAAACCCCATCTCTACTAAAAGTACAAAATTAGCCAGGTGTGGCAGAACATGCCTGCAACCCCAGCTAGTCGGGAGGCTGAGTGGGGAGAATCGCTTGAACCCAGGAGGTGAAGGTTGCAATGAGCTGACATCACACCAGTGCCCTCCAGCCTGTGCAACAAGAGTGAAACTCCATCACACACACAAAAAGAAAAATCTCAATATATTTATCACAGAAAATAGCAGGAGGGGGTTTCTGTCAACACAGCCTATATGGGATTCTTATTCTCCCCCAAGGATAGCTCGGAAGAATTTGTATATAAAATATTACTAAAGCTAATTTCATCCTATTTATTTACATAAATAGTAAATGAAATATAACTTACAATATTTTCTTACTATACCTTGTTCTACATGCAGTCACCTTTATATGTTGACTATATTAAATCCCGTATCTGGGTTTGCTTCATGTTCAGCAAATGCTGGTCACAATGTTAATCATCAATAAGATTCTGAAGAGTAAAACAGAAATGGATCCCATTTTTGTAGAATTTACCATCTAATGGATGAAAACACAAGTAAGAATATACACATATATTTACACGCTGTGATTAATACCCGCTATAGTTTGAATCTGCCCATTCCAAAATTTATGTGTTCAAACTTAATGGCCAATACGATAGAGTTAACGGGTAGGGTTTTGTTTTGTTTTGTTTTGTTTTGTTTGAGATGGAGTCTTGCTCTGTCACCCAGGCTGGAGTACAGTAGTGTGATCTCGGCTCACTGCAACCTCCACCTCCCAGTTTAAAGCTATTCTCCTGCCTCAGCCTTTGAAGTAGCTGGGATTACAGGTGGGTGCCATGACACCCGGCTAATTTTTTTGTGTTTTTAGTAGAGATGGGGTTTTACCATATTGGCCATGCTGGTCTTGAACTCCTGACTTCAGGTGATCCAGCTACCTCGGCTTCCCAAAGTGCTGGAATTATAGGCGTGAGCCCAAAGATAGGGCCTTAAAAGTAGTAATTAAATAAGGAAGGCTCCTTCCTTGTGAATGACAGCAAGGGACTTTATAATAGGGCTTGCCAGAAGAAGTCCATTCCTTTTTGCCCTTCCAATTTCTGCCACGTGATGACATGTGTTCCTCCTCTTCAAAGAATGCAACATTCAAGGCACCATCATGGAAGCTCACAAGACAGTAGTGCTCACAAGATGATCTTGGATTTCCCAGCCACCAGAACTGTGAGAGAGAAATTTCTGCTCTTTATGAATTACCCAGTCTGTAATATTTTGTTATAGTAGCATACAACGGACAAAGACAGTATCCTAGTGGAAATAAACAGAAGTGGGAGTACAGCTATATTATACATGTGTGGTCCCAGAAGCCTTCTTTGAGGAGACATAAAAGGTAAGAGGAAGATGGCAGCCAAGTGCAGTGGGATTATGCCTGCAATCTCAGCACTTTGGGAGGCTGAGCCGAAAAGATTAGTTGAGGCCAGAGTTCAAGATCAGCCTGCGCAACATAGCAAGACTCTCTCTACACAATAAAAAAAAATTAGCCAAGGTGATAGCATGTACCTGTAGTCCCAGCTACTTGGGAGGCTGAGGCAGGATGATCATTTGAGCCCAGAAGTTTGGGGTTGCAGTGAGCTATGATGGCACCACTGCACTCTAGCCTAGACAACAGAGTGAGACCTTGTCTCTAAAATAAAATAAAATAAAAAATAAAAGGTAAGAGGAAGATGGCGTTGTGAAGAATTGGAAGAACAGGATTCCAACAATAGCTAATATGGCTAGATCATAGTGGGAAAGAAAAAGGGCCAATACCAGTTACTCTAAGTTTCGTGAGGCATTAGAGTAATGGAATTTCCGGGAGCCAATTGTAGCATCCCATGAGGGCAGGAAGTGG